CTTCTTATCTTCATTACTATTAAGAACTTAAGTGTGTTTATGTATTTTTTGGTTTTATGATTTACTATACAAACCGAGGATTGTTTCAATTTTAAAAGACCTAGAAACCGATTGTTTTTGTAAAAGAGATGACCCGTTTTCAAAATGAACAGGTGATAAAAGAAAAAATAGTCAATATAATATGAATATTGTTTATTAGAAACATGAAACTGCTACACTAAATTTAGAAGAAAAAAACAAAAGGATTTACAATAAATAAGGATAGTTTAATTGTCTCCGTGTTTCGCTTCTTCGGCACTGATAGTAGATTTATTATGACTAGGTAAAGACACGATTAAATCTTGATATTTCTCTACAGAGAAAATACTATCATAGAGACGATTTTTTCTTTTAACGCTACCGAAATCTCTTGTCACAATCATTAAATGAGTAGCCTCGTTGTGGAAAGTAAATAGTAATTTTTTTGAACTGCTTGGTCATTACTAGGGTCAGAAGATATCGAATAACAGTATTATTGCGATTCTGACCTGGACATTCGTCAAAAAAGAGATGCAACTCTTCAAAGTTTTTTGAAATTTTGTTGTTTATATAGTCATTTAAAAAAGAGCAAACTTCATCGGGGTCTCTGTATCCTAAGAGTAAAAAGTTGCTTTGTTAGTTTTAAGATTGTGTATTTTGATTCCTCACACCCTTTTTCCTTTTAAAGGAGGATATTTACTTGCACTACTATCATTATACGACATTGTATTACTCACAGTGTCTGTTTCCAAACAGGTCTATACAACTATTAAATAGATTGCATCGTCAATATCTTCTTCTTTGTCAACCATTTTTCATCCACTCCTGTATGTAGGTATCTCCCAATTGCTTCCATATTTCTCTATCTTGCGCCAATCTAATCCACTGTTTGCCCGCCACTGCTCTTATGTCATCTACCCATCTTTGTTGAGGTCTTCCCATGCTTCTTGTTGCCGTCCTTGGTCTCCATTCTAGAATTCTCAGTGTCCACCTGTTGTCATTATATCAGGCGACGTGACCTGCCCAGCGCCATTTCATTTTTGTAATTTCTTCCACAATATCCCCAATCCTCGTTCTACGTCTTATCTCGGTGTTTCTAATCTTGTCTCTTAGTGATTCCAAGCATGATTCGTTCCATTGTTCTTTGCGTTGTTTCTATTTTTTTAGCAGATTTTTTGGTAAGCGCTACTGTCTCCAAGCCGTAGGTACAAACTGGTAGTATACATGTGTTATACACCTTTTTCTTTGAGTTTATAGGAATGGAGGTGTTTTTCAAGATATATGCTAGTTTGCCGAAAGCGCCCCATGCCAGTTGTGTTCTTCTTTTAATTTCAGCATCTTGATTTGGTTTTCCTAGTTTGATAACATGACCTAGATATACATAATGTTCAACATTTTCTATGGTATGATTTTGTATTGTTATATTTGTCTGGTCTCAGCTCAGTATTTTTGTTTTGCTGTAGTTCATTTTTAAGTCTACCGCTCCTGAAACTGCATTTAATTTTTATAACATATCATTTAGATCTTGGATATTATCTGCTATTAAAACTATGTCATCTGCGAATCTCAAGTGTTTTAAGTATGATCCGTCGACGTTGATACCCTTAATGTTCCATTCCAGTTTCTTAAAAATATCTTCTAGAGCAAGGGTAAATAATTTATTAAAAATCCTTTGTAAAAGGTATGTATATTTAATTTTTTTTCCTTGAGTTTACAATCTATGTAATTTAGCTTTCCATAATGGTTACAAATCTCCTTCTTCAAGATTTTCAGTTGAAAGTTGTTCTTTAAGTTGATTGGAACATTTCCTGGTGTTTTAATCTTACAAAAAGTAGGGAAGACCTGGTTGTTTATGCATTGAGAGATGAACCAAATATCCAGCTTCAAAGTGAATCTTTTAGTGGCTAAGCGCATGTACTGATGAGCCAAGTTGACCATACCGTCAAATAAAAATCCACAAGGAATCTACGTTCCTGTAGTTGGCTGTAAGTATACCATATATTAAAAAATGTATTAAAAATCCTTTGTAAAAGGTATATATTTAAATATATATTAAATATATACCTTTTATAAAGGATTTTCAATAAATTTTTTAATATATGGTATACAGCCAACTACAGGAACGTAGATTCCTTGGGGATTTCAAGAGTAAATAGTTTGGGAGAGATGGTGTCTCCTTGTCTTACTCCCCGTTGTAATCTTATGGGATTAGTTTTTGTGCCTTCGTCCAGCTTTATCTGCATGGTAGCATTTTTTTGTGGCATATTGACGGCATCGTCAATATAATAAACCATTATAGTGTGGGTAGGCCGGATATAATAAACCATTATACTGTCGGTGGGTACAAACCGCTGTTCATTTTGAAAATGTGTTACATCTAGGAGATGACTCGTTTTCAAACTGAACTGGTTTGTGAGGTATTCTGTATTTACGGTAATAATAATGAAAGTTGGCCCGTTTTATATGGAATACGCGTCAAAAATGTGGAGATGACTCCTTTTCATAATGACCGATTCATTTATAATGTGGCTAGCGCAAGAATAATCATTAGAATACAACAAATATCTTTTATTGACAGCTTCGCGGGTTGTAATATTTTCTTCTGGAACGGTATTAAAAAATAGTTTCATCCTCACTTTTCGGCTCTTTGTAATTTGCGTTTTGTTTTGGTTACAACCGTAATATTTGTATTAAGTGTTGGTATCTTGAAGTATTATCTCTAATTTGTTATGTTATTTATTGCTTATGGAATATATATCTACCGTGTATAAGGTAAATTAATAAAACGTATTATATAAGGAAGCAGTTTCGTAAGTTTATATTGCAAACTAGCATTACAATGTCAAATATACCATATTTGAATAGAAATTTTAATACTTTCGATAAGCAAATTGTTACCGCTTAGTTTGTGAGAATTATGCATCGCATGAATGAGATCTGGATTTATCGATATAACTATTTATAGTTAGTCTAAAATAGAGCGAACCAAAATAGAATTCTGAATTTATGAAATGGTTTATTAATTTTACCATACACTGTAATTTGAACATAAACGTTTACATACATATTTGATTATTATAATTAAATTTAATGTCCATACATTTCATTGAATAATTTTATGCAGCAATTGGGGTTGGATAAATATATTCAGGATTCTAACATCATCGAAGATATTAGTTATTTATTCAAATATTTATTATTCAAACAATATGTTACAACAGTTTTAAATAGTCTTGTTAAAAAGTTAAGTTTTCACACTTTATTTGGTATTGGAAAATAATTATGTATTTTTCTTGGAAAATACTTAAAAGTACATAACATATTTTAATAAGTTTCTATAAATATTTATATTGCATCTACACATGTTTTCTTTATTTGCCTTCCTAGTCCTCTAAAAGGTACAGTACAAATGGCTTTCTACATTTAGTTTTATTGGCAAACATAGACTTGCTATAATAACAGATGACTAGTGATATGAATCTAAAGTATGCATGAAATAAAAAATATATTTCAATCATATTTAAAAAACATTTCTATATTTTATATGTACATTTATATTTAGATAAAGAGTTAATACATTATATTTAGTAAAAGAACAATTCAATAACCAAGTAAGCTTCCAATCCAAAACGAACTGGCTGGTGTTATGCAAAGCAAAAAGGAATTACATAACACATTAAGGGGGTATGTTCTCGCCGCAGTTAAAATGAGTGGCATTAAAATAAACTAACGTTTAACAATTTTTTGAATAGATGGCAGCACGTGCACCATATTTTAATATTTTGATTTTCTCGAAATTTAATTATCTGAACAGCGACGTTGTTGCCAACGAGGCCAAGTACTGGAACTTAAAATATAATATACAATCGGTAGAATCGGTATAGTTCGCTCTCAGTCGGCAGTATTCTTCAATGCAAGTTGAAATTGCTCTTATTTGAAGTTTCACAAATTCTAATTTTTGGATTGGATCACTCGTCATATTTTTTTAATTTTTGTATCGTGTTGTGTTGTTGTTCATTTGCCTTTGAAGATAAATTGCTGTGTTGATTTTGTTGTGTTGTTTTTTGTCAGTTTTATAAACATTTTAAATAGTGCATATCAGTCTTATGTTTCTCTCGTTTCCTAATTAAATTAAAAAATTAAATCTTTTTGGGCCCGCTAATCTTCATCGCGTTCTTCTAGTTGCTCACGCAACTGTTTTACTGAAAGTTGTACTAGCACATTCTTTGGTCAGGCACATACGTAATTTTTAAATGTTCTTTAGTACAAAGATCACTACCGAACTATGCGGATGTTCCCGACGAACAATACTTTTCAAAAGTTCAAAAGTCTTTTTCAAAAGTCACTGCTGAATTTATTTTTTAAATAAATAATAATTATCCTCCCACCGGACACCAACTGAAGCGAGATTAAATAAAACGAGCGGTTCGAATTTATATAAATATATTGATTTATAAGTTTACAGTTCGCTAATATCTTATCAACTAAACTACACATAACATCGTTACATATATATACCACAAGTATTATTCTAGAATCATCTGGTGTAGTCCTACCTCTAATTCGTTGTTTGACGGGTGCATTTCTACAGCGCTCGATATATCGCCGGAAAGTTCCCGATGTCCTTTCGAGATGCAACAGTTACATGGGTCACGTCGAACGCATGTTTGTAACACTAAGATTTAGATTAAAAATATAGTTGTAGATTGCAAAGTTAATAAAGCTGCGATACTTTTATATTAAATTTGTATGCTATTTGTAAATTTTTTTTTCGTACAACGATAGTTTATTATATAAATTATTAAAATATATATAATTGTCCTGTTTCTGTTGATACAGGATGTTATTTTGTGATCCGTAGCTAAGTGAGTTTGTTTAAAGTTGTTGTCATAATTTCGTTATTAATAATAATTAATATATTTTAATGAAATCTTTCTCATATCAATTAGAAGCCATTCTAAATCATGTTCATTTAATTTTAGGTTACTGACCAAGATGTTGCTGATGTTCTTCTGTGTGAAGGCTATCATAATGTTCCCGACTTTGATAGTTTTTCATTTGTACCCAGAAGGGTACTTCACAGAGAAATACCTTGTTATATACTAAAAATGTTTGATAATTTGAATCTATTCGATCACTTCAGAATTAAAAGAGATGTTCTTACAAGATTTCTACTGTATGTTAAAAAAGGTTATAGGGACTTACCGTATCACAACTGGATTCACGCTTTCTCAACCACACATTTTGCCTATTTGGCTTTGAAGAATTTCAGTTTGGTGGAAAAAAAGTATTTAACGTAAGTTTTTTATATAATTTATTTAAAATATAATGTAGCACAACTACTAGTCGATCTTCCTTCTTCAGCCCGGCACAAATATTCTCATTTATCGTATTAATAAAACTCCAATATAGCTCTATCTGTGTCACTTACATAGAATACTTGTAAAATCTTTCTCTTTTCATATGCGCCAATATGAAATATTGGCCATTCATAAAATTTCGGCCCACTATCGGACTACGTCGGTTCCATCTTTGTTGGCGAGCCGAGGGTACATCGATGAGGACAGTTTCTGCATTTAAGAAGATGTTCTGCAAAACCCGCTGCTTTATATAAATTTGAGAGTGGCGTTGGTTTCATGCACCCCCTTACTCTGCTGTATGTCTCATTTAGCGCAGTATCAATTTGTTTACAGATCTGCCTCAAACGGGGCACGCATATTCAGCAGTTGAGAAACACAGTGCCTGTGCCGTATGTTTTTAAAATGCCAGGACGTGCGCCCCATTTACTTCCCGTTAGCATTCTGAGTATGCTGTTCCTAGTTTTTATGCAATGTTGTGTGAAGGTGAGGGACCAGTCCAGAATTACTCCCAAGATATATAGGTTGGTTTGTGTGTTCTAATGTATTACCATCCCATGCAATTTAGAGTTTTCGCTTGGCTTTCTTTGCGCGAAGGTGGAAAGCGCAGACTTGAGTTTTAGAGAGATTGGGTCTCAGGGAAATCTGCAGGTAGTACGCTGTCATTTTTTAAGGCCGTTTCGAGTTTCTCCTTCACTTCTTCAAAACCATTTCCTTGAGCACATATTGCAAGATCGTCAGCATAGAGGGAGTGCTTGGTTTCGGTCCGCGTAGGTTGGTCATTTGTGTATATATTGTAGGGTATTGGTGCTAAAACACTTCCCTGTGGGTGGCCGTTTTTTTTTAACTCTCAACCTACTTACTTTACCCTCCAGATAACGAAAAACGTCTGTATTGCAGTAAGGAATATACGACCTTACCCAGATGCTGGTCATTGACAGTGTCGTATAATTTGGGAAACAATGTTTTGTGCCTTACTGTATCATAGGCTGCTGTCAAATCTACGAAAGCTACTGTTATAAGTTTTTCTTCAAAGCCCTGTGTTCTGTTTCTGCGAGGACTTAACCGGTGCAAGATTTGCGGGTCTGAATCCTCCTTGTTGTGGGACAAGGCCGCCACTGTCTTTAAAGATATTTAGTTGTGTTGTTAGTAAAGTGTTGTTCTTAATATTGATATTTATTTTATTTTTTTTTATGTTTTAAGTTATGCAACTTGTGACTAGTGTAAAACTGGTCAGTTTTAGGTATGTTAACTTTATTAATGACACCACATTTTTTATATAGAAAATTGGAATCCCTGGCATATTTAATCTCATGTTTGTGCCATGATATTGATCATAGAGGAACAACGAATGCATTCCAGCAACAATCAGATACTGTATTAGCCAGTTTATATTCTAGCGAAGGTTCAGTGATGGAAAGACATCATCTATCACAAACATTGTGTATACTCAACATGGAGGTAAGTTGTTTTATATGGGTAACCAAATTGATGTTTTTAGTTTAACTGCGTTCTTATTTAACATTAAAATAAATCAAAATTATATCCCCAAATCATTAGCGTACGAATTTAAAAAAAAAATTGTATTATACAGGGTGTTCACGAACTCCCTCTTTATTTTTTCATTAATTTTATGTCATTGGCAATCGATTTAATTACATTTTTTGTTTCAGGGATGTAATTTTCTAGAAAATTTAAACAGGGAAGACTACATTATATGTTTAGATCTGATAAAAAATATGATTCTCGCTACCGATCTTGCCGTCCATTATAGGATACATTCACGACAGTTAACTATGGCGAAGGTATGCAAAATATATTTCTATTATCTTTTGTTGTTTTATATCAATTCTTTCTAGTGTTTCTCACCTCTATGAACTATTATGTCCATAATCTACCAGTACTGAGCAACGGATCCTTAGATCCTATTGTGTACCGGTGTCCTAAGATAAGTTCTTCATAATCTAGATCACTATATACGATACAGTATAATTCGAAGTTATATCTTTGGCGCCACTGAACTTGACCGTTTATAGTTCCAAATATTTTGCGGGATATTTTACGTTCGAATATTCCCAAAAGTATCCTTCTGTGTTATAGTCCATGTTTCCGCCCTTATGTGAGGACCGGTCTTAGCAGTGTTTTGTACGTATGTGAAACTGTAAACACGTTGAAAATAATGTGTGTTTGGTAGACCTCAACAACTCCTTTCCATACTACTTATTGCAGTTTCTACGACGATAGTGTTTCGTATGTATATGAGCTATTACAGCTACTATAAATCTTTACGGGACCACCAATAAAATCGATATCAGGAGAAGGCGAAACTATGTCCCCAATTGTTCTTAACAGTATTAGAATATGCTTTCAAAATAATGGAATGGAATGACAAAGAAATCTTCATTAAAGAATAATACTTTAATAGTTTTTGGATGACTTATAAGAAGCTAAAGATATGCTGGAAAAATTGATTGCAGCAACAGGAAAAGTGGATGAACATTCCCAAATTCTAAATCATTGGACAGAAGCTGGTAGTAAGAAATGTCAAGTGATAGAATCGAGAGATAGATGGTTATGCAATGTGTGCATCATTAAAAGTACTAGATTAATACTGCGGTTTTTAACAGGTGGAACTTTCCTAAACAGGATCTCACTTCTTGGGTTCCTTTCCCAGATTTATGTTCACTTAAAGTACAGAAAATAAAATGTTGACTTCCTTTTTAATGTTTTACCATTTAAGGAAGGTTTTACCTTTTTTTACCTGGTGTAGGATATTTTTAATATATCATGTTTAATATTATAAAAACTGTTAACCAAATAATAAAAGATAATGATGATTCTCTAATCAGCTGTTTAACTGTTATGATACCAATATGGGTTGATACAGGATTGAACATGAAATAGTTGAGTGTGCATTGAGTGGTTTTTAGCTTGAATTGATGGTTAAACGTTTTTTTTTGCTTAATTAGCAAGTTGAATATTCAGATATTGTGGGTTATGTTTCACTAGACGTAGACAAAAAGTCACATGCAAATGTCAGATAGGTGATTTAACAAATTCTTACTGGAGAATAAAAAGTCCTCTCCCCTGTAGATTTCCAAAGCTACAGCTACCAAAATTTCCTTTTTACGAACAAGACCTTGAAGTTCTGATAGACAAACCAATCATTATATATCCCCCTTTTACAGACTTGCCAATTTTAACTAATCTGATATTTAAATCCATACTCAGCAAATTAGGGGACGGTATATCACTAATTATTGTGAAAACATCGTAATAGTATCAAATTCTCAGGCAGTATTACAAGCTATTCGTTGCCATCCATTACATAGTTTTCAAAACTCCATTACACTTGATATCAAAAAATTATTACATGAACTAAAACAATTTTTCATTTACTATACTCCTATTACAGATCAAATGTTGTTTATATACAGTAAACGATGCACCCTATACCTATATACCTAATTCTGTTTCTCTTTCTGCTCTCTTTTACCTATAACATTACATATGTAATGATTGTTCAGATTGACTCCCATATAAATTTGTAACAGCGAACGGGTGTATAGAAGTATAACTTCTACCGGCAGTCCCACTGGACTGTCACACCCGTTTTTTAAATTTTTTTGCAAAAAAAGTTGAAAATGCATGAAATGCATGAAAATTGAAATACAAAATAGACCTGTCCTATTTTATCGGAGCACTTTATCGGAGGAAATGATCAATTATTGAACATTTTTGCACTAAACGCACACGCTGTATATATTTTTTTTATTTTTTAGGAGAGTTATAACAATACAGATCCCGAACACAGATATTATTTATGCAGTTTACTGATGACCTGTGCAGATTTGTCAGATCAAACCAAGGTATTGTAGAATGTTACTGTAAATTGATAATACTAATGCTCTAGTTAATAATGTTTCTCCGTTTTTTTAGGACTGGGGTGAGACTAAAAGTGTTGCCCAATTGATATACGCAGAATTTTTCACTCAAGGTGATATGATGAAGAAAATGGGCAAAGAACCTGACAATATGATGGATAGAGAAAAAGCTTCCATTCCTGATCACCAGTTAGAATTTTTGACAGATTGCTGCATTTGTATATACAGGTAAATTTGTTCTCTTAACCACATTCAATACACAAAGAGATACTTAAACTATTTTACACTTATTCGTATATTGTTTAATGACAACTGTTTTATTTATATTTATTTCTATAATTTATCTATTTGACAAAGGCATCCTGATCTTTTCTCACGAAGGTGACATTCTTCAACACACGCAATACTACAATATTCAAATCCTCAATCTCAGAATAAATGTTAGACAATTAGTAGATGTTAATAAAAAATAGTATTCAGCTATCGTGCAATCTCCTACAGTTATATTATTTACAATCGTTTTTTTTTGTTTTACATTCTTTGAATATATTTAATTTTTGACTCCTTTATTTGGAAGCTAAACTATTCGGCGAATTTTTTCAACTTTCAAGTAACAAAATTAAATAACTGTTTTATTTTTATTTTGAAAATGATTTTCAAGATGGAAATCAAAACAATATATAAAGTATTTTAATTTATAATTGTGGTTAAGCTATACAGCAAAAGCAGTAATTTTAATGGCGCCCAAAATAACAAACGAGGAAGCTGCACAAACATTACACAAAAATGGGTTATAGAAATAGGACAAATACCAGCTGAATAGAGAGGCGGCATCTTAGCACCTGTATGCAAAAACAAAGGGATGTTTTAACAGTATACACATTAGAGGGCCATAAAAACACCCAATATGAAAATATGAGATATAAATTCATAGCTAGGGAGCAGAAAATGAAAATTAGTTTAGATGTATGTGAGGCAGGCATCACAAACTACAATTTTAATTATAATGAGACAACAAAGAAACAGCAACAAATATTCATATGATACTCATTGATCTTGAGAAGCATATGATAGAAAACCTCGAGAGATTCCTTGATGTAAAAATATGAAGAACAAAGGCACAAAGCAGAGAAACCTATCGTATGATGGTCGCCAACCTTCGGTAGAAGACGGCACATAAAGAAGAAAGAAAAATATGAAGGGAACTCTATGGTGAGTATGCGAAAGAGAGATAGTATAATGAAGTACCAAGTGGTTTAGAACAACGACTGAAACACTCGAAGCGGGAGTACTAATACAGGTGTCCTTAATTCCTTGTTCACTGAATTTATTTATCATTTATTTACTGTTTGTTTATTTTTTTACAAATTATTTACAAATTTATTTTTGTTAATAGAATTCTAGCCAAGATATTTTCAAGTGCGGAATGTCTGGTAGATGCCATACTGAAAAACATCCAAGCCTGGGAAGTATCAAAAAATGTTTTTAGTGCTCTATGTGTAGAAGGTACTACATCTTACGAAGTGTTAGTAAGCAATGAATTTGAAAATGCCGTACAAGAAGCTCTACAAAATTTGACCCAGGAGGAACAACAAGGTCCAAATGGAGAATAATACATGTATATTTAAGTACAACTTGTGCAATAATTGTAGTGCTGTTGTGTTTGTGTATATACATACAAAGCATTTTTGCAACATTTATTTTTGTTATATTTTAATAAATGTTTATCATGTTGTTTTATGTTAAAAAATAGTGTGGTTAGAGTGAGTCGAATATATATATATATATATATATATATATATATATAATATATATATATATATATATATATATATATATATATATATATATATAGAAAAGAAATTTAATCTTTGCAGATAAGTTAAATAGTAAACTCTTAAATATTGGGGAAATCTACAAGAAAGACTCTAATGAGTATCAATTGTTTCGCCTAACGTTTTCGCCAAAGAGAATTAATTTGACTTCTTCAGGGCTGAAAGAGAAGAAATTATAATTAGCTACCATATAATATCTATTTAAAAAAACACGGGAGATCTTACCGTAACTTAGAATTTTAGAATTAGGATGTTAAAAAAAACTTAGCTAGTAACATAGTGTTTTTTTTTTGTTACTATGTGAAAAAAGTTACCGTTGGAAATGTATGGTAGCTTTGAACTTGAAACGTAAAGGTGTACCCAAGAATAATCGAAAAACCTAATGTAACTACATTTAAGAGGGATTAATTCTTTTTGAATTGTCGGCAATAACTAAATTTTTGATTGTTTGAAAGTTTAAATGTGAGATTCTGTTTTACCAGAACGCATGCGCTGACAAGTCAAAGTAGTTCTTATCTCTTGCTTATCTTAGATACATATTAATAAAATATCATAATAATACATGTCAATATCCAATGTTAATCCAATTGTCAATAGTATGTGTTTTTCTACGATTGTAAAGCAACATATAGAAAAACACATACTATTGACAATTGGATTAAATATTGTCAAATACGAAAAAAATATAAGCAAGCAATAAAAGCCGAAAAACGTACTGCTTATGCTAACATAATTAACAAATCCACCAACAAAAGTAAGACAATATGGAGTATTGTTAAAAAAGAAACCTATAAGGAACATACTACGTCTAATCTGAACTTAACACCAGAAGAAATTAACCAATACTTTACGAATATAGCAGATATATCGAAATCAATAGGAGACTCTGAGCATGACATAAACTACTATCTTAGCAGGCTACCTAGAAGGTCAAGTTCGTTCTTTATGTCTCCAATAGTAGCATCTGATGTGAAAGAATGCATATACAAATTAAAAAATTCCTCATGTGTTGACTACTATGGTTTTAACAGTAAAATTATTAAGGAATCGCTTGATACAATTGTTGAACCACTCACAATAATATTTAACAAATGCATTAACGAGGGTTACTGGCCTGATGTATTCAAAATATCAAAAGTAATTCCACTTCACTACAGACCTATTACCATAGTACCAACAATAAGTAAAATTTTTGAAATCTTAATTAAAGATCGTATATCAAATTATTTGGATAACAAATCAATTATATCTAGCTCTCAATTTGGTTTTAGAAATAAATACTAAACAACTAAAGCTTTATTAGAAGTAATAGAACATATTGTTCACGGTTTTGATGCAGGTGAACCTACTAATGGCTTAATGTGTGACCTTACAAAAGCTTTTGATTGTGTAGATATTCAAACACTATTGATAAAATTGGAGTACTATGGAATAAGGGGCACCATACATGACCTTTTAAAATCCTATCTTACAGGAAGAACACAGATTGGTGCATTTAATAATCAAGAATCTAATCCTTTACCAGTTTCAACCGGAGTACCACAAGGATCAGTTTTGGGTCCTCTACTATTCTTGATATATATATATATATATATATATATATATATATATATATATATATATATATATATATATATATAAATGATTTACCAAGTGCATTGGATAACACCAACTGTGTTCTTTTTGCAGATGACACAACCTTATTATGTAGAGGTAAAACTGATTACAGTCAGGATATATTAGAAAAATCTAAATCCTGGTTTAACTGTAACAAACTTAAGTTAAACGAGCAGAAAACCCAGAAAATCGTATTTAGTTCTGATAGATGGGTTACACCATCTGAACCAGTAATGTTACTAGGTGTTACTATGGATACAAGGTTGAACTGGTCGCACCATATTGAACGATTGTGTAGGGGGCTCGCCTCACAGATTTTTGCTATGCGCAGATTGGCTACTTCTGTGAGTCGAGATATTCTTAGGTCAGTTTATTTTGGAATGGTTCATAGTATCCTGACATATTGCATACTTCTTTGGGGAAACTCGTCCTATGCATATAAAGTTTTCACTTTTCAAAAAGCAGCAATCCGAATTATTGACTAGGCAGAATATCGCGCCAGCTGTAAACCCTTATTTAAGAAGTATGGCGTTCTTCCTTTACCTTCAATATATATATTTGAAACTTTGTTAACTATTCATAATAATATAAAAGATGTAAAATCACATGCTGATCAACATCATTACAATACAAGAAATAAAAGTCATATCATTATACCATATTCCAGATTGTGTGTTACACAACTTAATACAATAGATTATAATCTGTATAATTGTTTTTTAAACTTAAACAAAAATATTGATATTAAGGCAATGAATTCTAAACAATTTTATAAACTAGCAAAACACTTCCTGCTGGAACACTGTTTCTATAGTATACAGGAATTTGTTTGTTTGAGCTCCTAGTGTGGTCGTTTTTAATGAAAACTATATTACGCCTTACTGAAATGTTTCTTTCTTATTTGTTATAATAATTTTATATATCTAATTTTCACTGTATATGTTTTATTATATGTTCTTGTATTATTTCTTAGTTCTTAGTATACAAAAGTAAATTATTTTTATTGTGACATGACATGTAGTGTTTACTATGTAAAAATTGTCAATAAACCTATCTATCTATCTATCTATCATGAACAATATAATATAATTAAAAAAAATTAACTTCATTCTGTTCACCAATGAAACTTAACGACATAAAGAATCATAAGCCTACTTTGACTTATCAGCGCATGCGTTCTGGTAAAACAGAACCTCACATTTAAACTTTCCAACAATCAAAAATTTAGTTTAGTAAACGTTAAAATTGATGGACATCTACAGTAACATTTTCACAGTGGTACACATCAAACATAAGAAATACATATTTGCACACTCTCTTCGACGTTTACTTGCTTCATAGTTCGAATTACACTATAAAGAGAAATATCCCAAACTAGCAGTAGAAAATACAAAGGATCTTCGACATTGAATTGGAATTCGCGAGTGAACCAATTCGGTCTAGAAATGGACAAAACTGGAACATACCTACATAGAATAACTTCTCCAGTTTTTCATTTCATTTTCACTTGCTCATATCAATTCCACGGTAACACTTACCAGCAATATTCGTTAGTTTATTTTACATATTAATTGAAATTCACGACTCGCTCTATCAATGTTATCGCTACTGCAAATATTTAGCATTATAAACGATGAATAAAAGAAAACAGTATTCATTTTATACTAGTCTGTTAAAAAATATACACATATATATGTACATGAGTATGTATAAGTTAAATAATTGCAAAATGCGAATTCAGTTTTTAAGATTGTAATATTACACCCAGCTTTGGATTTCTTGTTTACTGAAATAGACGGAAATACGACCGCAGATTTCTTTAAAATTAAAATAAAAGTATTACAACTATAAAAAATCAAATCAAAATCAAAATAACATTGATCATCAATGTGTACTTCGTATCATAATGTTAGTTAAGTGTTTGTTGTATCTTCACACATATATAAAGGACACACAAATAGACTAATGATAGTCCTACCATGAAAGATTATACGAATTTTTCTTTCTGACCCACTAATTAAAACAAAAAGGAAAAATAAGTGCCGTGGTATATAACAATTAACTTTGGTAGACAGTTTTGTTTTTGTTATTTTAATAAGACTATATTCGAATTGAATTGAAAGATGTTTAATATACAATATTTATCATTTACATTTATCACTATTATTGCTTGACATAGTAATATAAACCTCGCATTTTTAGCAGCTAAAAACCCTAATTTGCGACTATTTTTTATCAGGCAACCTTAAATTCATCATATTAAAAAAAAATAACTTTAATTTGGTATAAAAAAATAACATGCATATGCATCATGAGCAGCGTATTTTAAAATTAACGAAATTTTTGTTCAAAAATTAATTACCATTAATTTAATTAAAACTATTTGCGGCCACTTTTTGACTAGCAACCTGTTATCGATGTATTCTTCTGTTCTTAAATTATGTAAAAATGTGAGTGATTAATTACGAAGTGATTTTGCAGTGGGATTTCGTACCATTCTAAAACAATTTTTAATTGAAGGTGCTTGATTGGCAACATCGCACTTAAAGCGTTGAAACGATATTTCACTTATCAACTTTACAGTGGCTTACCAAAATAAAATTTTAATTATTTAAACACATAAGTAATTACGTAAAAATTAAATCTAAGACCGATAAAATTATTAAATTATCATGTGTATTTTAACCTTATCTGATAGTTGTCCAACAAAATAAAGTAAAATTGTATTATTGTTATATAATGTCTAATACAGTACTTCAAAAACAGAAAACTTTGCAAACTGATTACCATATTTCATTTATATAGAAGGATAACTACAAAGTAAAGAAATAATTACCTAAGTTATGCTTATGAAGTTTCGGAATATGAGCGACTCGTTCGAAGAGGAAACACCAGTCACACTTAAGTCTATTATTATTTTGTCGAAAACATTGTCTACCATCCCACATTTTCTCTTCTTCCTTGATCACATGGGCTACGGCATTAGCCCAATCTTCTTTGCGTGTTCTACTTTGGACATCAGATATTTTATGTCACGTTTTCACGAGCTACGTTACTCTGTATTTGAGCCAAGATTAATTCTATCGGGTTTAACTCACAATTGTAGGGAGGAAGTCTCAAAATGGTGATGCTTTTAGCACAAATCATTGTATCTACAGCAGACTAGCGATATCTATCTCGATGCTGTCTAATTACTCTTATAAGCTCAGCCTTAACCATGTCCTCGGAAAATGGAATTCTTTTTTGTCCTAATCAATTCTGCAAGTCTGTTTTTCTGAGGGCCATAGTTGGCAGAGACTAAA